GGCCAGCACCGGGAGTAACTAACTCCCTCCACTGGGAGTGACATTGCCCGGTGCTGGTTGGGACGGGGTGTGGGCTCAGAGCTGGAAGAAAATGGGGAGACTGTGAGTCATCCAACATGTGAGGAAGAAGCCATGTTGACCCACATAATGAGGAAGCTGAGGGCCAGAGGGAAGACATGCCCGGTGGGAGGTCCTGGAGCTGAATTCCCCCTCGGGTTTGCCTGTCCTTTGGCTCTTCCTCTCTACCTGCCAGATGAAGCCACTAGGACCTGGAGGGTGGGGTGGGGACCTGGAGAAGCTGCACAAGGCCATGGGGTCCAACCGAGGGGAGGAGCGGCAGCCTGGGCAGAGGCCAACACTCTCTCTTTTTCTCACTGCTTCACTTCCCTATCATCCGCAGACCTTTGGGACCTCGACTTGTTAACCACAGAAGCAGAATTCCAGCAAGGTAGGCAAGCAGCGAGCAGGGCAGTCTGTGAAGGAGCGTGATCTGGAACGGGGAGAGGGAGAGGCAGGGCGAGGCATGTCCATCCATTCCTGTCAGCCACCAGTCTGTTCTTCTGACCCCAGACCTTGGCCTCTGGGATCACACTGCCCAGAATCTCCTTCGGATCGGTCTGGCTTTCCTGGTCCTGGTGGCCCTCATGTGCCTCCTGGCTGAAGACTGGCTTTGGAGGAAGAGGGCACAAGAAAAAGCCAATGGGAACGATACAGAGAAGATTAGCATGGCCCCTGTGCAAGGATGACACACAAATTCGTGAAGCATTCCATATTTTTGGGTGGGGGGATGGGTTAGCCTGGTGGTGGGTATTAAAGAGGGCACATTCTGTGTGGAGCACTGGGTGTTATGCACAAACAAGGAATCATGGAACACTACATCAAAAACTAATGATGTAATGTATGGTGATTTACATAACAATAAAAATTTTAAAAAAAAAGCCAATGGGGCTTCAAGTCAGGAACGCAGGAGAAGGTCCAGAACACAGAGACGCCTGGACAAATGACTGAGAGAGGTGCTGGCCACAGGTAGAGCTGAACGCTGGCCTTGACCCTGAGCTGAGTGAGCTCTGTGTTGTATCCATGGAGGGGGGTTCCCTGCAGGAAACTGAAGGACAGCTGCGTGGAGTCTAAGCTTCCAGGAGGAGTTGGGCAGGGGGAATGAAAGACCTAATTTCTCCTGCAGACAGACCCTCTTGTCTCTTGTTGAGTGTAAGCATTTTTGTGCCTGCCTGATGAAAACCAAAGTTTTAACCACCCTGGTTTTCACCAAATGTATCTCCTTTGTAAACAGCATCACCACAGAATATTTCCTTCCTGCTTTGGTCTTTATCCCTAGTTCTTCTTTCCTTTGCTGCAATATGTCATTCAAGATTTTTAATAACAAGTACAGAAAAAAATAATAATAACCAGTACAGAATAGGCATTTATCAAAAGGAACATCACCCAGAGAGGCACCACCGGGTTAATGGAGATGCAGGCTGTGAGCACACGTACAGCTGAGTGTGTCCTGGCTAGGTCTCAGCCTTGTCCCAATTCCTCTCTCTTATACCACCTCAAGCTTCTGTCTTCCTCACTTCTTTATCCAGAATTTGCCTTCCTCCTTGGGTTTCCCCCCAAGAAAGCTCCCCAAACCCTCCAACTTGACTTCAGATATCACTTCCATGCTCCCAAAGCACCTGTTGTTCGTCTGTAACATCACTGGGGCTCTAACACTGCATACATATCCATTTTCCTGTCTCTACAGTGAACTTGTGTGAATTAAGTCTGTGTTGGGTCTGGTGGCTGTGCTCACAGCTCCTGACACTAAGAGCGTTCTCCGGAAATATACGTCAGGTCAATGGATATACAAATGAGGCTGTAGCTCAGCTTAGCTCTCGAGACTCCTAATTATTGTCCTTGAAATGCTATCTGGACCCTTTGTTCCTTGAGAACTTCTTCTTGATCAACCCATTAATATAACCATTATATGGGTCCCTGCCCTCCTCAAGATTCTGACACCTCACACGGTGTCAAATCCATTCTCTAAATCTGAGTTCCTGTTATGTATCAGAGAACATTAATTCCAACCTCAAAAGGGTTGGACATGCATTTTTAATGAGATAAAGAATATCCAGAAACCAGTATAGGCTCTGACACATGTAAGTTAACTCAATGCATGGTAGCTGTTATTATTCCCAGTACAATGGGGAACTGAAACTCACACAAATTGTTACCTCAGTACCAGTGGATCAGTACTGAGTGTCCTTTCTGTTCTTCATCTGCTAGGTCTTCACAGACCAAGAACTTCTGTTGATACTGAATCATAATGTTCTTTATCCCAAGACATGATGGACTTCCTCAGAGTGTGTTTATGACATCCCAAATTTTCCATATCCTAAGCTATGGCAGGAAACCTACAGTCTCAAGGGGGGAAAAATGTGTAAGGTAGAAGAATTTTGGATCTCCAGATATAAGTGCAGGGGCTTGAGAGCCTCCTCAGAAGGATGGAGGGGTCTTTTCCACACAAGGCTGTTTCCCACACTGCTCCAAGTCAAAATCTTCCAAAACTGGTTAACAGGACTAGACCAGATGGTTAAGTAGAGCATTACTCTTTTTGAAATGTTGCACCCAGTTTGTATTCCAGACAGCGAAATGAAGCATGGGGAAGAAGGAAGGGAGGGAAAGGGAGAGAAAGTACCGGCCAATTGTTTGTTATGGAGGTTTATCGGAAACACTTAAAAACACTTCCATCACAGCAGGGAGGACATTAGGAGAAGGAAGGGAAAAATGAAGGGGGGAAATCGGAGGGAGAGATGAACCATGAGAGACGATGGACTCTGAGAAACAAACTGAGGGTTCTAGAGGGGAGGTGGGAGGGGGAATTGGTTAGCCCGGTGATGGGTATTAAGAAGGGAATGTACTGCATGGAGCCCTGGGTGTTATACGAAAACAATGAATCGTGGATCACCACATCAAAAACTAATGATGTATTTTATGGTGACTAACATAACATAATAAAATAAAATTAAAAAATTTTTTAACCATTAAAGTGCTAACATGATAAAAAACACAACAAAACAAAAACACTTCCATTTATTTCTCAGTGGTTAGAACCTAATAGCTTGCCCCACTTGGATGCAAGGGAGGTTGAGGAAGATAGCCTTTATTCCAGGCGTCTCTGTGACGAGATAAATGCTGGCATTTCTGTTACCAATGGAGTGAGGAGGGATGTGGCAGAGTTGTGATAGGCAGCTGCAGTCTCTGCAACCAGAGCCTACTATGTGCCAGGCACTGGTAAAAGGACCACATCCCTGCTAGAACAGGGATGATTGTCCAGGAGAGCAGATCTTCAAGAAAGTGAGTAAATGCAGGGAAAGGGGACAAGTTGGGATAGAAGAAATACAGGATGCCACTGGAGCTTCTTTCTATGCAAAATTACATTCTAGAGAGACATTGAGGAGGGCATACAAATGAGGAATGGGGGTGACAGTGGCAGGGGTCTGCACCAATTCATGCAGAGGCTCACATGTGGGACAGAGGGTGAAAACCATGTAGTATTAGTAGAGCTTTGATTCTGGGTGACACTGGGTGCATCACACCAAGCACAGCCATGGAAGCCACATCTTAAATGCACATCTCATCTTTAAGGCAAAGGGAGCTCATTTAGCACTTTTATCATGGCTGGGATAGGATGACGTGTGCATTGCAGAAAGATCCTTCCAATTAGAGAGAGAAAAGAATAAGCAGAAGAAAACAAAACCATGGAGAAACAGCACAGTTGAGAATGTCATCTATTTCTGGGGTTGCCAATCAGAGAGAAGACAAACTGATAACCCAGAGGGAGGTCCAGCAATGGATGATGGGTCCTGGTCCTGAGATTGGTAATATTTGCTGGTTTTGTTACTTTTCAGAATTGCCTAGATTATTCTGAGCCCTTTAGATTTCAATATTAACTTTAGGATGTCGGTTGTCACAAAAGACCAGCCTGGGTTGTGCAGGAAATTGTACTAAAGCTACAGATCGATTTAGGGGGAATTATCATCTCTTCAATCTTTAAATCCATGCAAGTTTGCACCCTAAATGTGTTATATTTTGCCATGTATTTACATGTTCCCTGATTTCTTTAAATAATATCGTGTAGTCCTCTGTGTACAGAATGTGCACATCTTTTGTTAGATTTCCACAAGATATATCCTATAGTTATATCATCCCCAGATAGATCCCTAGGTATGTGACTTTTATTTTGTAAGTGGTATCATTCTTTAAATAATTTTATCACTGTTGTTTATTGCTGGTATTATAAAAATAAAATTGGCTCTTGTATATCTAATATGTACTCAGTGGTCTTGCAAATTTCACTTAATTTTGACAGTTTAAGATTATTTCTAGGTTTAAAAATTTTTAGAATTTTTTGTAAAATTGATTTCTTTTTTACTGTCTTAACTACCTGGCTAGAACCTCCAGCACATTAATGGATAGCAAGGATCCTTTTCTTAGTACCAATATTATGGGGAATATTTTTAATATCTTACCACTGAGTAAGCAAATTGCTATAGTTTTTTGTAGATATTCATTGTCCCAGTAAGAAAATTCCTTTGTATTCTGGTTCTGCTAAGCTTGTTTCCATTTGCAAATGAGAAAGAACATATCCAGTGAGACCAATTAGGAGACTCCTACATTATTCTAGATGACAGTTGATAATGGCTCAGAGAAAGTGGAGACCTTTGACATATTTTAGGCACATAAGTCATATTTCATTTTATTGCTTAGAAATGATGGCTGAAAATTATGGAAGCAGCCCAAATGTCCATCAACTGATGAATGGATAAAGAAGGTGTATATATACAATGGAATATTACTCAGCCATCAAAAAGAATGAAATCTTGCCATTTGCAATGATGTGGGTGGAGCTAAAGTGTATTATGCTAATTGATGATAAGTTATGGTAAGTCAATCAGAGAAAGACAAACACTATATGATTTTACTCATATGTGGAATTTAAAAAACAAAACAAATGAACAAGGGAAAAAAACGAGAGGGGACAAACCAAGAAATAGATTCTTAACTATAGAGAACACACTGATGATCACCAGAGGGGAAGTGGGTGAGGGGATGGTGATTAAGGAGTGCACTTGTTATGATGAACACTGGGTGATGTATGGAAGTGTTGAATCATTGAATTATGTGCCTGAAACTAATATTTCACTGGATGTTAGCTAACTGGGATTTAATAAAAACTTAAAAAAAAGAAACAATGACTAAGCAGGTAGCAGGATCAGCTCTGGACGAAGGACTCTGGACAACTTGGGTGGATGAAGAAGGGGACATTTCCCTCTCACTCCTACCCACAGGTGAACCATGAGCTGCACGGTAAGAAGATACATTTGGGGCAAAGTCAGAGATACAAATTAATGGCCCATCTTCCCAAACTGAAAAGGTTTCATTTTTTATTGAAATATAATTGACATATAACATTGTGTCAATCTAAGATGGACCACAAGCTGGTTTGATACACAATATGCACTTACATATTGCAATATGATTGTCACTGTAGTGTTTGTGAACACCTCTGTTGTATCACATAATCATTTCTTTGTTGTGGTGGGAATGAGTAAGATGTAGTCTCTTAATGATGCAATATCATTGTCTGGAATCACTATACTCTATATTAGACCTCCAGGACCTTCTTATTTACTAGTTGCTAGTTCATACCCTCAAACAACGTCTCCCCATTTCCCCCACCCCCATCCCCTGGCCACCACCACTCTCCTCTCTGTTTCTGTGAGTTAAGCTTTTTC